AGGAACAGAACGTAAAATGCTTGTACAGCGCAGGATGTACATGTATGATAGCAGACCAGGTAGCCTGGGTGTAAGAAACAGGGGCGAGCTGTAGCGCCTATAACCCCCCCACTGTTACATGGGTACCAGACTGCTGCCAGGCTAGCTCCTTGGCTCCTGGAGGGCCAACATTTGCCCAAGGAAATGTCACCATAGAGTGATAATAGACATCCCTCAATAAGCCTATGAATTACATTGTAAAGGCTTGTTATCCCCTAGACACAAAGAACACAGTTTCTTTAAAAATGGGTGACAAAAGGGGAGGGGAGGTGATTATGATAAAATTAACAAGTTCTAACTTCCAAGCAACAACTTGAAGTTAGTCTCCAGTCAGAATCTGATCAGAGACATTCTATCCCTCAACTAGTATTATGATTAGATTAGATTTAGATTATGAACAAGAAATTAATGATGAGAATCCTAGTTTTATTTTTTAAGATAGTCGGTCATCTTTTCAGGCTCCTACTGGGTGACCCAGTAGTCAAGCTGCCCAGATAGGGGTACTGTAATTCGACGTGTAACTCAACAATAGTCCAACTTGATAATTGGACAGTGGCATTTGCATGTCAAGAACAATAGCTAAACTTAGTTTCATCCCGCATAACAATTGTTCCTTGATCAGAATAATTACCTGAGAACTGTTGAACCATGGTTGAACAGAAATGGACTGAGGATTTTATAACTCCATTGCTTGAAAGCAGGTTCAAGTTGCATTATATGCATATTATATAGTACTAGAATTTTGTCCGGCAAAACTGTCTGTAACATAATTTTCCCAATGTTTCAACTGAACTGAACTTCAATGACATTCAGGATGCTCATGAGAAAAAATTGTTTCATTTTCTACCCCTAGCTGGTACAGAACGTGTTTGTAAGCTCTTCTTTCTTTTTTGTGGTCTACATGTAGTTGAAAGAGCATGCGAAGCTGAGTGATTGAGTGAGTGAATGAGGTTGAAAGCGGCAAAAATGTACAACACTGTTAACAGATGGGTGTGGATTATGCTCTCCTTCCTTATTTCTGCTCTGAGAATGAAGTTTTACACATCACTTGGATCAGACCGCGGGCTGAGATGTAGTCCGTGAGGTCTGAATCCTTACCCCACCAGGCTGAAATTGGCACAGACAGTCTGCAAACATCAATCAATTCACGCCTTCCATGCCATTGTTTTGGGCTTTTTGCACCTCTTTGACCAGAAATTCCAGACCGCGGGCTGAAGTTAGGCTGACGGTCTGAATGGTTTTTGAGTAAATCAGCCCGCGGGCTGGGATTCTACACCTGTAGTCTAGTGCCTTTAGACCGAAGGTCCTGTAATTAAAACTTGCGGGCTAGTTGTTAGGCCTGACGGGCTGTTAGGAAAGACCACCGGTCTGCTTGTATTTATTATTAATGATATCGTAAGTTATGAACACTGCAGAACAATAATTTTTATATCACTGTGCTCATTACACCAAGAGCTACACACTGATGTGAAACTTGAATGTTGAAAATCAATTTTTACTTGAGTTTCCAAATGCCTTGTGACTTTCCAAAATTGATGCGACCAGTGTTAATATAATTCAGATCACATGGTGCTATGCAACCTGGGAATTTTTACCCCCCAGTTGTAATGCATCATGGGAATGGGAAACTGGCCGGGTGCCTGTTGAGACAAAGCAAACCTGTAGTCTGACTCAGTTGATTTAAGAGCTAAACGCTGCTCGACATGTAAAACGGGATTAATTTGAGAAAACGGTGACTAGCTAAAGCCAAACTGACTGAGCTGGCAGGTGCCCACACCTGTGTAGTAGACACCTGTCATGTGTGACCTCGTATGACCCTCTTGCAGGAAGAGATCTTGAGAAAAGAGAAGGAACTGATGGAGGCCCGGAAGATGTTGGTCGCCATCCGGACTGCAAAATACAAGAACCGACCCCACCATCAGGACGATTCTGACTAGGTCTCCCACCGGGGTTTCCCAGGTCTCTCACCAATGTTGTCTGTCCTCATTCCCCCCCTCTAAGCATCTGTCTCTTGCAGCCTGCAGCATGGTCTTACTTCTTAATAAGGACACCCTGTCTAAATTTTATGGATGACATCCCCTCAAGACCCCCAAACTAGTGCGCGTGGGGGAATAAAAACAAATACCGGCCAAAAATAAAAATGCTACTAAACCACAGGAATACAAAGCTGGTATTGGGAATTTGTGGCAGTACATAGAGACATATACGACAAGCTGGCACAAGCTGGCTTTTTGTGGAATTGGCACTGTACGAATGTACTAAGTTCTTGAGTCTTGGAGCTTTGGTAGCCTGGGTGCCATCCTCAAGAGTTACCACCGGCTCTGCATTGTCACTAACTACCATGGACTACCCAGGGGAATGTCAATGCGTGCGTGGATGTCATCCATAAAATTAAGTCGATGTGGCCTAAGGACAAGGGGTGTGATTTCTCACTTTGTAATAAGGACATGGGGTGACGGTTTTTTCCAGGGGTGTGATTTTCGGTTGTGATTGGCTCATTTGATAATAAGGACATTATGGTTCATTTTATGAGGATAGAAAAAGGATGGATTTGTGTAGAAAAAAAAATGTTTGGAAAACTTGCTAAAAATCGTACTGGTAGTGGATGCTACCTGAAACGTCTGACCATTTTCAAAATCATATTCAGTTGCTTGAGTAACTGTTTTGTTGCGTATCTTTACCTGGATATCTAACCTTCACTGACCTTGCTAAAAATCACTAGAACGTTTTGCAAGACCATTTCAGTTTTGAAATTGATCAAAGAAAGAATCTGTTGTTTTTTTAATGTTTACAAACACAACGTCAAAGGTTTTTTAGAAAGTAAGGTCAACATTCGAATTGTTGAGAGACTGAAAAATGAAATATTTCCAGCAAAATGAAGAAAACATTGCCATCAGGCATCATCAAGTGTTGGCCAAAGTTTCACCCAGACAACATTGCAAGGTTGCCAACATGGAATTTTGTATATGCCATGGGTTTAGGTCTGGACTTACGAGTCTGGAACTGAACCTAAACCTCTGGACTTGAATCCGGACCAAAACCTAAACCTCTGGACTTGAATCCGGACCTGAACCTAAAAGTGGATTTAGGTACACAGCACGAGTTGTCTGTCCTCATTTCTCCCCTCTAAGCATCTGTCTCTTGCAGCCTGCAGCATGGTTCTCACTTCCTAATATGGAGATGGGGTGATGGTTTTTGGTGGGGGTGTGATTTTGTGTTGTGACTGGCACAAGGTTTCTTCTTTTTATCAGGATGGATTTGTTTAGAAAAAAGTTTTAGAAAACTAAAAAATCATTATTGTAACATTTTGTATGAATGTGTTCAGCTTAAAATTGAACAAAATGAAACCTGCTGTTTCTTGGAATATTTACACCAGAGTGCTAAAGGCTTTTTAAAAAGTAAGGTCACAGGATGGAAAAGGCATGGATTTTTGTGCAAAATAGGTTTTGGAAAACTTGCTAAAAACCATTATAACTTTTTGCAACATCTGTTCAGTTTTAAAATTTATCAAAATAAAACCTGTTTTTTCTTGACCTATTAACCCCACAGTTCTCATGGTGTGTTTAGAAAGTAAGGTCAACATACAAAATTTTGCAAAGACTAAAAAATGAAGATTTTAAAAAACAGTCGCAGCCAATCACAACGAGAATCTTACCTGTGTTAAAGGTGTTAATTAAAAGCTTGTGGAATGTCTTAAGGTGAAAGTATTAATTATTTCCACTTTCACTTTTTATCTCCTTAGCTCCAGACTTCCCTGCAGCAGCATGGATATTCATCTTTAAAATCATTCATTTCTTCCCTTCATCCATCCCAGCATGCACCAGTACATACATGAATATTCATCTTTAAACCATTCATTTCTTCCCTTCATCCATCCCAGCATGCAGCTGCACATACAACATCCGTCTTACAATCTGTCATTTCTTCCCTCATTCTTACACTCAACTCATCTCTCCATCTACTAGTATATATACTATCATAGTTCATTGCAGTTCTTACTATCCCTAGATTGCTTTCATTCATCTTAAAATCATTCATTCCTTCACTGTTACTCTTTCATACACTCCTTCAAACCATCCCTCCATCCCTTTATCTATACTGTTATACCTCCATCCCTCCATTGCTTTTATTCCCGTTTCCCCTGACTCCTCTTTCTCTCCTTCAACCCATCCCTCCATCCATCCACTCTAGTATTCTCTAACCCTCTTTCCATCCTTCTTTCATTTTTATTCCCATTTTCATGACTGCTGTCTTTCTCTTATTCTTCCTGAACTTTCATTTCATTCCTCACTCTTCCCTTCTTTCATTCTACCCATTTGTAATGGTTTCCTCCCCTTTCCTCTTCTTTCATTCCATCCCATCACAATCCACATACACACCAAGTTGCTCACTTTTCAGAATAATTCTTTTATTCCTCTCATCAAAACACACACAATGATCATACCTTTTTCCCATGTAGTACAACCTGAATTGAAACAGATTTTAGTTCCACCCACAATTTAACAGTACATTTGCCATGTGTTTTTGGATTTTTGGATGCTCTTCAATGTGTTTGTTGAAAATTTGAATGCATCTGCACTGGGGTTTTTTTCACATACCAGACAATTCATCAGTGATGAAATTTGTGATTAATGCATTTTGATGCATTGTTTGATTTTGATGCATTGTTTGAATGATTGTTAAACTTTTCCCACTAAGGTTTTCAGTGTAGATGAACGTTGAATGCTACATGTAACATGAATTGTAGATGAATGCTACTGATAATGAATGTGTTTTATACAATAATGAAATTTTCCTAGTTATGCATGGAAAAACAGCTAAAGTCATATGATGATTATGTGTACAGAATGTGATATGATAACACACATTTGACTGAAATGATACCATTTTATTGTGAATGTGCATTTGACTTGGTAAACCTTCCATTTTTGGCTACATCATTGATGTGTAGTCTTTTTACCTTGCCCATATTGTACATAGTGTGTTTGTCAGAGTAGATGTAGTTACCACTGGTAGCAACTTACCACACAGCTACAGTGACTACACCACACTAGCTCACTATCCTGAAATACTTCCCACCAGTTTGCTCCTGTTTCTGTTGCCTGATTCACTATGCTCTAACCTTCCAGCTGCAGTAGTGATGCACTAGTTTAGGCCACTCCAAATTAATCTGTTGGTTCTCAGGATCATACCCCAAAAAAATGTCAAACTGAAATATTGGCATGAAAACAGAGTTTAAGAGAAAAGTTTGTAAAGTTTAAGGCTTTAAGATAGGTTCAAGTTTTCCTTCCAGTTTTATGCGGCCTGACTTAAAACTTCAATTCTTAAAATGTCGGAGAACCAAGGAGTAATTTGGTGTTGCCTTTCGTTATTTTGTCTTCACTCCCCATTTCTGATCAACATGATTTTCCCCTTCCCAGCTTTAGAATCCTTTCCTACACTCCCTTGTAGTGTTTGCTATATTGCAGCAGCACCCCCCCCTCTTCTTCCCTGTATCAGTGGGCCACTCTAACTTGATTTTATGGTTTATATTATATATTTTTCCACATTCCTTTAAAACCTATTTTAACAAATAAAATTGTACCTAAAATTCCATGTCATTTCTCTTTGTAATGTAACTAATGTATCCTACCTACAAGTATATCGGAATGTTGTCGTAAAAAAAAATATACAAATTGTCACATTGCCATGGCAACAGCTTTTCTAACTCGTTTGTTCTTTTTTCTTCCTTCTTATTTCTTGTGCTTCTTCAGGAGGAGATCTTGAGAAAAGAACGAGAATTGGAAGAAGCGAGGAAGAACCTGTACAAAATAAGGCAAGCCAAGTACAAAAACCGGCCCCAACAAGACCAAGACTCTGACGACTGAGCCTCGCACCCCTCCCGGGGGAGTGAGCCAGTCCACTGCTAGGATTGTTTGTATAGGTTGGACTGTTCCACTTGGTACTGATAGGTAGGGAAGGATGCAAACTTTTTAGATTTCATGTTAAGTGCTCTTACTACAACCATGTATACGCAACAGAGTTTTTTCCCTATTCATGTATAATGCCTAGATTATAAATACTAGTAAGCCGCTAATTTGTTTAATTGGTATAAACGATAATGATATAACGTTCACTGAGATTCTGTATACCAACAGAAACAATGCCTTTCACCCCTGCTGCTGTCTACTGTTACTTACATAAGAACTATGCTGTGTAGGACATCAAGATTTTGGGAGTAAATTTTAACACCAAATGTTAAGTTTAAGGTAAAGAACTGCTGTAGTACATATTCACATATTAGTCATACATGGAAATACTGTTAAAGGTGTTGGTGGTTGTTGTTAAAAGTTTTACTGTGTTCCAACATAATGAAGGAAAACAAACTAAACTTTCGGCCATATTGACTACAGCCTTCGTCAGTTGCGAATGTCCAGTAACGTAGGTCATGTGACCTGACAGACATCATGTGACCTATCAGTCATTCGTTTTCAGAACTTTTGAGGCAAAATTTGTTGAATTTTTTTTTATTGCGTTGGAACATAGTTACTTTCCAGACAAATGAACATTTATACTGCACAAAAAAAGACATTTTTCAAAGCAAGTAGGGCAGTAAGAGTACAGCTCTATCTATAGTAATCATGGCAAAAAGCAAATGTGACAAGGGCTCAAGCTTACAAAACTACGTAACAATTTTAGTTGTAGCTTTTTTTTCTTAGTGCTTTTTTTAGTAGGAGAAAATTAGAAGAATAAAAACTATGATTTGATTCGGTGAGAAAGAAACTTACACAAGGCAATATGTCTTTTCTAGATACATATCATTTTTGGTATAGGGTGTGGTAATAAGATTGTGTATTTAGTACCATTTACATGTGCTAGAGGGGGGTGTTATACATAATGGTGTGCCAAGATCACTAGTGTCATAGTAGGGTGATAACTGACGATATCACACCGGGTTGATAAAACTGATATCATATGATAAAGTGATAAAATTATGCTGAAAGGAACCGAAATATGAAATATGTGCTGATATCGTACACGTATTGATACATGATCTTGTATTACGTGTACAATGTAATATGATCTGTTGTAAGTTGATATCATTTATACCAACCCATGATATCGTCGCCTAGAGTTATATTATCATCTCATATGCCTTCCATACTGATATATTTACAAAATCATAACCGTAATAATTGAATTCTGTGACAAATGTTAAACAAGCCGCTTTTAAAAGGTGTTGCCATGAGTTTAAACAAGATCCTCTGCAGCTGATTGGTCAAGCCTTACTGCACAGATGTATTGGGTTGCGCCAGTACTGTATGCTGATTGGTTAATGACTACACGGGTGTATCGGGTTTTGCCAGGACTGTATGCTGATTGGTTGATGACTACACAGGTGTATCAGGTTACAAAAATGATGGATGCTGATTGGTCAGCCTTTCTGTCAGTCTTTCAAGATTGTTTGAATCAGCAGTTGCCGAATAATGTGCCATGTTTACATCTTTGAAAACTAATGCATTTTTCACATACAGATATGCAGAATGTAAGGAATAGCTTATTATTCTGTCAGAAATAACCTGTTAGATTTTTTGGCGCATTTTTTGGCGAGAAATGTATCGTATCCATGACAACTGCTTCTTGTTAGCAGAGAGAGCCATAAATAACTTTTTTCTCTTCATGACCAAATATGGACAACTGCAATGCTTTTTCTGACAAAAAAATCTTCAAAATGTAACGTTACACATTTTTTGCCCTTTTTTGCCATATATTAATATTGGAGGTACATTTATAGTGATTACAAAGTACCAGTGTATCATAGTTTGTTATTGATAATATCATAACTAAGCGCTAATTATAACGGCATTTGGTTGTTTTGTGATTAAGTTTGCGGTGAAAATTATAGCAGCATTTTCCACCACTTAAAATATCATGTCATATAGTGTGATAGACTGCAGTACTTCAGGTGCACTCTAGAGGGCGCTCTTGGATGACTACCTTAGAATAAGCCAGCCAGGCGAGGGTTTTTCTACTATGCTTTGTAAATGACTCTAATAAAAGCATTCAGCTTCTTAAATGTTGTTTGTTTTGTTTGTTTGTTTGTTTGTTTATTGAGATCTCCATTAGTATGGTAAATTCCATACTATTATTCCTGGAGTCCAGCAACATAAAATAAAATAAAATAATAATAATTACTTTTAGCAATCTTGATAATTAATAAAACATACAAAATTATGCTGAATTTATAACAAACTTGAAACAAAATCAGCATAGAGAAATACTTGTCACTTTCTTGTTCTTTGCCTTAAGTTTAAGTATACGTTAAGGCCACAAGATCTTGGATTTTAATACATAATCTCCAAGCAGAGGTTTGGGGTTATTTTTGGCGTGTTTTTAGGCTTTTTTATCGGGGTTTCTTTTTTGCACTGTTTGGGTTTGAGGGAAAATCCGGTGCAAAAGAGAAACCCCAATAAAAAAGTCTAAAAACACGCCCAAAATAACCCCAAACCTCTGCTTGGAGAGTAGGATTTTAATACCTACTTTGTACATAGAGGTAGAATGGGATATCCCTGTAACCTCTGTGCTTCGTATATTTCCGCTTTGAAGGAAAGTAAGTAAATAAAAACTATGAATAAACTGAAAAATACTTAATTCGTAAGCTTGTTTACTAAATTTAACCTCCTTGGGTTTAATAGAAATAAATGAGCAGATTAAAATCGCCCCCCTTTGAAAACCACAGTTGGTACGCTCCAAACCGGTTAGAACCGACCAGTCTTGCATAATGCATTTGTTTGTCAACATGCAACACGTGTCCGGAAAGTTTTCGTACTTATTTGCAACTTTTCGGGAGAAGTCCACCATTCTTCCCCCGAAATTTCCTCAAAAAGTGTGTGCAGCAACCCGGGGGAACTTTCTGTGGAGAATTTACGCGGTTCTTTGGATTTCTTGAGGAGAAAAGCGGATTTTCTGACCAGCGAGACGACAAAATGGCGGGGCTGCGTGTTGTTGGACAGAGGGAGCGGTTTGGAGCCAGGAAACTCGCTTGTTCAAGGTAAAAATTCAAACTTCTTCGTCAGAATTTATTCCCACGACTTACTTAGAACCTGTTTTTCATTTTTGGTCCGTAAATTTGCTTCGTAATTCTTCGAAAATATCAAGTTGGACGGGAGCAACAGAATAATGCAGTTAGCGCCCAATTTTGTTGAATTTTTACTCTTTGTTGTGCGTGTGTAATGCATTCTACATGTATTTTACGTGTTTTGCCGGGAAGACAGGCGTATAAAGTGATATTTGTGTGGGGAAATGCAAGGGAAAAGTCTATTTTATGATTAATTTTGTCCGCGTGCACGTGCACCTATGCGCCTGGTGTCAACATCAGCTGTTGAAATAAAACCCTAATTACAGGTGACGTCATCTTCCCGCCAAAATATGGTGCGGGGCCTTGCTGAGCGCTTCGTAAATTTAGGTACCGTTTCCCCCAATTTTTTAACCGCTTTGGAGCTCGATATTTGGGTAAAGAAGTTGAAATTTTCTTAAGCTTTAATTTCTGTGTAATTTTGTCGTCGGACGAAACTGTTTTTATAAGTTACTGCAGTTTTGTTGAACCATTTATTGTACACACTCAGTCTCAAGTGTTCCTTTTTTATAGGAGGTGGCATGGCGGATGTAACCTGATACTGTAACCTGATACAGGACGGACTACTTTGGGAATGAAGTTTCTCTAGTGCTTCAAGGTCAGACAACAACAAACTTTTTCATAAAAGTATTTCCAAGGAAGGGCTTGAAATACAGGGTGCATGTGCACTTTACCAAAATTATTTGGAGCTGTGCACCCAATTTTTTTTGTGGGTGCACCCAAATATTTTTGTAGGTATTTTGTAGGTACATATCTACTGTATAATACTAATAAGTACTATGATTTTAGATGTAGAGTTTCAACCCAATACAAGTTGAAATTGCATGCCATATTTGTGTCTGGTAGATGAAATTTGTTGTCTGGTACTAAGACATTTGTGTCTGGTAAAGACATGTTCTCTTGTCTAGTTGCAGGCATCGGTTCGTCTTTCCTGACTCCGGACTCCTTCCCAAACTCAGTGATGCAGAGAAGACTATTTCCAACTAAGACAGCATACAGAAATTTTGTAAGTTGTTCTTTTTGGGTTTTTTTATGGAGTTGTTCAATGCAAGGCCTATGTGACCACTTAACGGCAATGAACTAGAGAGAGAGAGAAACATGGCTATGTCAAGAGATGGCGGTGAACGTTTCATTTGAAAGCTTGTAGATTATAGGTTGGTGGGAAACACTTGTCAGGGAGGGAATTCCAAAGCTTAGCCGTACGGGGAAAGAAACTGTCACTGTAAAAAGATTTCGAACAAGGAATGGACGGTGAAGTTGTTCTGCTACAAAATATTACATCTTGTGACTTTTGCTTTTGAAAAGTTGACTCTATGTAGAAAATTTGTTATTTTTGGTGTGCTTAGGCCCCGGTTGTTTGTCATCAAATTTACTTTGTGTCAATTTGTGAATTTGGTATAATGTGGCAGATATTTCTGTTAGTACATTTGGTCCTTCAAGCAGATGTGTGGTAGTTAACATCTAGTAGTCTGTTCTTTTTGCAGTTTCAAGATGCAATGATCGCGACATGACAGTTTTGTGAATTTGGTATATGTGGAAGATATTTCTGTTCTGCTCTTCCGGCAGGATCCTAAGGAACAGCCAGGCCGTGAGTGCTCCCAGGGCTAGGACAAAGCGGCTCCAGCAGTCCTTTCTCCACAGGGCCATAGCCCTATACAACAAAGAACTGACGTATCACTAGTTTTATTTTTCCTAAACCTCATCTGTATATAGTTTTTTGCTTGGTACAAATTCTTTATGTAATACTATTATATATAGTGTATATGAGGGTGTGTATATAGTATCTGCTTTGCCTATTGTAACTTTTTTTTTTCTGTACGCATTACTACGCAAACTCTTTCAATTCAGGGATTCTTATCCCTGCTGCAAGGTTTGCTTTTGGTGTTGAAATAAATAAATATCCAATACATTTGGTCCTTCAAGCAGACGTGTGGTAGTTAACACCTAGTACTCTTTTAATGTAGTTTCAAGACGAAATGATCACGGCATGACAGTTGTTTTTCATTGAAGTCACATTTTTTTATGTTTTGTCTGTTCTTGCTGTTTTGTGGAAACTCTTCACTCTTCATGTCGGGATTCGAACCCGGGACCACTTGGTTCCAAGTCAAGCACTCTGCCGCTACGCCACACGATCCCACCAAGTGTGAGTTGTTGAGTAATTATTTTTTTCTCCTTGTACAGTCACAACTTCACACATAAGCAACCAGCGCTTCTGAAACGATGAGGAGTGGACTTGAAAGCTGTGCCTGGACTCACAGGTTTGTTGTTTGTTGATTTTTGTTCACCTTGAACCACAGTCCGGTTGTCCCTTTAGTCATGTAAGGCCTAAGAAAAAACTTTAAAAGTGTTTCCTGTTTCCCGACTGACTGAACTGCCAACCCTAGCCTTGTTATGTTATATGACCCCTGCAAGGGACATAAATTTTTCAGGCTGATCGACCTTTTCTATCCTCATGATCTGACACTAGAGTGATGAAACGTCGTACACTCTTCTTTGTGCACCAGGTGCACTCGAGAAGCCAGTCTGTATGCTGTACCTGTTGGACCCAATGAAACCAGACTCAAAAGCTGTGCCTGGACTCACAGGTTTGTTTGTTTATTTTTATTCGTTCACCTTAATCCACAATCTGGGTGTCCCTTTAGTCATGTAAGGCCTAAGAAAAAACTTTAAATTATTTCCTGTTTCCCGACTGACTGAACTGCCGACCCTAGCCTTGTTTTGTTGTTTGGACCCCTGCAAATTTTTCAGGCTGATTGACCTTTTCTATCCTCGTGACACTTGAGTGATGAAACGTTGTACACTCTTCTTTGTTACCCAGGTGCACTCAATCTCTCGAGAGAAGCCAGCCGTACCTGTAGCTGTTGGACCCAATGAAACCAGACTCAAAAGCTGTGCCTGGACTCACAGGAAAGACTGCAGAAGTCGAGATTCTCCACTAAGATGGACTAGCAAACATTATTTCAAAGTTCAATCTTTATTCAGCAACATCGGACGCTTGATTGTAACTGTTTCTCTTCTCGTTAAGATCACGTATTTCGTTTTCGAAACGCACGTAAATAATTTGAACATAGTCCCAACAGTGGAAGTCAAGCAAGAAATGTTATGTTTTGTATAGAGCTCTGCATTTTGTTACAACATATGATAGCATTGTATAATCGTACGAGAAACTAAATCGTTAGAAACAAAGTATTTCGTTCACCGTTTAGCCAATATCAGTAAGCTGATATTGTGCTCTGAAACTGTTTAACTTTATGTAACTGCAGGGCATTGATTGTATTGTATGTTCCATGTATGTATGTACACATAGAAAAAAAAAATAGAGATAAGAAGATTATAAATGGACTAGGCTGGTACATTTGTTTACAGGAACGGGTAGAAGTAAAATTGTTGTACTGTAATATATGATAAAATGTGAAGACGTTTTGTAAAACCATTGAAAAAAACTTGGGATTTGTGTATTCCTGTAAACAAACTTAGTACCAGCGTAGTTCATGTTGAAGTTGTGTCGTTTCTTTAACTAGAACAGTGAATTCCGCTTGTACCTTTTTCAGATCCAAAATTTAGGAAAGTAGCATGTTTCTCGTACTAGCTTTGAAATTATTGCAGGAAGTTTTTGTCAGAGCTTGTTGAATGAGGTATCCAGAAAAGAAGTTAAATTTTTGTACAGTTTTTGAAATCCAAAATTTAGAAAATTAGCATGTTTCTCCTACTAGTTTTGAAATTGTTGCAAGAAGTTTTTGTCAGAACTTGTTTGCCAGAAAAGAAGGTAAATTTTCATACATTCAAGTCATATCGAAAGATGAAGGATTGGTTTCTAATAACTTAAAGGTGATTCTTAAATTTCTTGGTTAGAGCTTTTTCGAACTTTGGCAAGTTTCCCAAATATTATCCATTTTTGATTTAGAAGTCTAAAAGAAATGACTTAGTATTTTGGAATTCACTGTACTTAGTCTCGGATTTCTTCCTCTATCTTCATTCTTTGCCTTCACTCATCTTAATTCTTCTTTGCCTTCATTCTTCTGTCTTCACCCTTCCTTGCCTTTACTCTTCTGTCTTAAGTCTTCCTTCCCTTCACTCTTCTGTCTTAAGTCTTCCTTGCCTTCACTCTTCTGTCTTAAGTCTTCCTTCCCTTCATTCTTCTGTCTTAAGTCTTCCTTGCCTTCTCTCTTCTGTCTTAAGTCTTCCTTGCCTTTACTCTTCTGTCTTAAGTCTTCCTTGCCTTTACTCTTCTGTCTTAAGTCGTCCTTGCCTTCACTCTTCTGTCTTAAGTCTGCCTTGCCTTTACTCTTCTGTCTTAAGTCTTCCTTGCCTTTACTCTTCTGTCTTAAGTCTTCCTTGCCTTCACTCTTCTGTCTTAAGTCTTCCTTGCCTTCATTCTTCTGTCTTAAGTCTTCCTTGCCTTCACTCTTTTGTCTTAAGTTTTTTTTCTTCACTCTTCTGTCTTAAGTCTTCCTTGCCTTTACTCTTCTGTCTTAAGTCTTCCTTGCCTTTACTCTTCTGTCTTAAGTCTTCCTTGCCTTCACTCTTCTGTCTTAATTTTTTTTTCCTTCACTCTTCTGTCTTAAGTCTTCCTTGCCTTTACTCTTCTGTCTTAATTTCCTTGCCTTCTGTCTTAAGTCTTCCTTGCCTTTACTCTTGTCTTAATTTTTTTCCCTTCACTCTTCCTTGTCTTTAAACTCTTCCTTGTCTTCACTCTGCCTTTCCTTCACTCGTCTTCATTCTTCCTTGCCTTCACTCTTCTGTCTTTTCCTTCCATCTTCTTCCCTCCCTTCTGTTGTCCTCTCTATCTATGACCCTGGCTCCCTCCCAGTCTATCACACATGGGTGGGAGCCAGGGTCTTAGATTACTTCCACTTAGTTTAATTGTTGTTGGGAAATGTAATTGGAAGACTTGATTTTACATAATTGAATGCCAAATTGCCCCCCAAAATTGTCACTTTGGACCTGAACACTTGGTTGTGTTGGTTGTTGGGGATTCTGACCTTTGACTTTAACTCACTTTCCCTGAACACTTAGCCACCACACTCATACTAGCTACATTGAACCAAGTCACACTGCTCCAATATTTTGGATCATTAGGCTTAACTTCTCCAAACCCTTTGTATCACTCGTGCTTTGTCAGACCAACCTCCCGAAACAATTACTTGAGATTTTTCTGCAAGAATGATTGTCACTGTACTGTCAGTCAATTGCACAGGAATGCTGGTGCGTCGAAACACCGTGTCTCCGCAAAGACATCCCCAGGGGAGCAAACTTGTGTGCATTGACTGACCAGACCAGTTTAGTTCTACTAGCTCTAAATGACTACTTTTAAATTAGAACGTTTGCGTTGATGTTAAAGTGTCTGATATGTCGCACAGACCGCGTCAACTGGTATTGAAAACCAGTTTACTGGGGTAGTTAAGGCCATACAGTGCTTTTAGACACTTTTATCAACCTAACCTAACCCTATCTGCAGTTAAGTTATACTAGCTCTAAATAACTACTTTTAAATTAGAACGTTTGCGTTGATGTTAAAGTGTCTGATATGTCGCACAGACCGCGTCAACTGGTATTGAAAACCAGTCTACTGGGGTAGTTAAGGCCATACAGTGCTTTTAGACACTTTTATCAACCTAACCTAACCCTATCTGCAGTTAAGTTATACTAGCTCTAAATAACTACTTTTAAATTAGAACGTTTGCGTTGATGTTAAAGTGTCTGATATGTCGCACAGACCGCGTCAACTGGTATTGAAAACCAGTCTACTGGGGTAGTTAAGGCCATACAGTGCTTTTAGACACTTTTACATACAACCTAACCCTATCTGCAGTTAAGTTATACTAGCTCTAAATGACTACTTTTAAATTAGAACGTTTGCGTTGATGTTAAAGTGTCTGATATGTCGCACAGACCGCGTCAACTGGTATTGAAAACCAGTCTACTGGGGTAGTTAAGGCCATACAGTGCTTTTAGACACTTTTATCAACCTAACCTAACCCTATCTGCAGTTAAGTTATACTAGCTCTAAATGACTACTTTTAAATTAGAACGTTTGCGTTGATGTTAAAGTGTCTGATATGTCGCACAGACCGCGTCAACTGGTATTGAAAACCAGTCTACTGGGGTAGTTAAGGCCATACAGTGCTTTTAGACACTTTTACATACAACCTAACCCTATCTGCAGTAAAGTTATACTAGCTCTAAATGACTACTTTTAAATTAGAACGTTTGCGTTGATGTTAAAGTGTCCGATATGTCGCACACACCGCGTCAACTGGTATTGAAAACCAGTCTACTGGGGTAGTAAGGCCATACAGTGCTTTTAGACACTTTTATCAACCTAACCTAACCCTATCTGCAGTTCAGTTATACTAGCTCTAAATGACTACTTTTAAATTAGAACGTTTGCGTTGATGTTAAAGTGTCTGATATGTCGCACAGACCGCGATGACAGTGCTTTTATACACTTTTATCAACCTAACCCTATCTGCAGTTTAGTTCTACATGCTCTAAATGACTACTTTTAAATTAGAACTTTTATCAACCTACAACTGCCTACAGTTTAGTTATACTAGCTCTAAAATGACTACTTTAGTTTTAGGTTTAGTTTTACTACCTGAACTACCTTAAACTAAATGCCTTTTTTTTTAGTGGAAAGCAACTTCAGAATAGACCTTACAAAAAGAATGGGTGTGTTTTTGTTACGCTGATTCCTTAACTCAATGCATTCCTCCCTTTCAAACATCACACAAAGCATACCCGTACTAGTACCTCATATCACAAGTACATACTAGTACCTCATAACGCAAGTACTGTACATACTAGTACCTCATAACACAGGTACATACAAGTACCTCATAACACAAGTACCAGGGATCTCCCCAGAAATTTAGGACAGAATGGAGGAGGGTGCGAAATATCGGTAAATTTGACCAAAGAACCCTGGAAAAGGTACCTCATAACATAAGTACATACTAGTACCACATAACACAAGTACATACAAGTACCTCATAACACAAGTACATACAAGTACCACATATCACAAGTACATACAAGTACATTGTACCTCATAACACAAGTACATACAAGTACCACATAACACAAGTACCTACTAGTACCACATATCACAAGTACATACAAGTACCACATAATGCAAGTACATACTAGACCTCATAACACAAGTACATACTACTACCACATATCACAAGTACATACAAGTTCCACATAATGCAAGTACATACTAGTACATGTACCTCATAACACAAGTACATACTAGTTACCTCATAACGCAAGTACATACTAGTACCACATAACACAAGTACGTACTAGTACCTCATAACATAAGTACATACTAGTACCTCATAACATAAGTACATACTAGTACCTCATAACACAAGTACATACTAGTACCTCATAACACAAGTACATAGCAGTACCTTATAACGCAAGTACATACTACTACCTCATAACACAAGTACATACTAAGTACCTCATAACACAAGTACCACATAACACAAGTACGTACTAGTACCTCATAACACAAGTACATACTAGTACCACATATCACAGGTACATACTAGTACCACATATCACAAGTACATACTAGTACCTCATAACACAAGTACATAGCAGTACCTCATAATGCAAGTACATACTAGTACCACATAACACAAGTACGTACTAGTACCTCTTAACACAAGTACATACAACTTACAAGTACCTCATAACACAAGTACATACTAGTACCTCATAACGCAAGTACATACTAGTACCTCATAACACAAGTACATACTAGTACCTCATAACACAAGTACATACTGGTATCCTCATAACGCAAGTACATACTAGTGCCACCTAACACAAGTACATACTAGTTACCTCATAACACAAGTACATACTAGTACCACATAACACAAGTACATACTACTTTACATTACTAGTTACCTCATAACACAAGTACATTTACTAGTACCACCTATCACAAGTACATACTAGTACCTCATGTAGCACAAGTACTAGTACCTCCATAACACAAGTGCGTACTAGTAAACTGACCCTGACCGAACCCTAACCCTGACCCTGACCTACACATGTAACCTGACCCTGACCTAACCTGACCCTGACAATAAACCCTAACTGCCTGCCATAACCCTTAAGCCAAGACAAGACCAACTAAAGTAAAACCACTTGCATACACGTCACTTGTAAGACCGAACCTAGAATATGCCGCGACAGTATGGGATCCATATACCTGATACAAAGAAAGACAAAGATAAACTCAGGAGAGGGTACAGAATCAAGCTGCAAGATTCTGTATGAACAACTATGAAAGAGGTGCTAGTATCACGGAAATGAAAAGAAACCTACAGTGGACCTCGCTGGAAGACAGAAGAAAAATGTCCAGGCTATGCACGATGTACAAAATGACTAATAAACTGGTGGACGTCCCAATTACTAAGTACCTAAAACCAGCCCAGAAGAGAACAAGAAATAGCCATGCCTT